GAGTCAATAAGGTGGGCCTTTAGTCATTAATTAAAAAAAAATATATACATAATTTATTAAAAGAATGCAATCTTAGAATATTAGAATCCCCACTATAGAGTAGATTTGCGGAAAATAATGTGACGAACAGACATTTGTTTCGTTTTTTTCATCAGATGCACGATCTACCTACGTTCTAATAAGTAATACACAAATTTTTTTTTATAATTCATTTTAATATAAATTAATAAATGTTTTAATAAAAATTATCTTATCACTACATAGAAAACAAACTCGCTTCCCGCTGTCTGTCTGTCCCTATGTATGCTTAGATCTTTAAAACTACGCAACGGATTTGATGCGGTTTTTTTAATAGATAGAGTGATTCAAGAGGAAGGTTTATATGTATAATACATGCATATTATAGTACAGAAAAGCCGAGAAATTCAAAGATTTGTATTTTATACTAACGGTTAAAACGCACCTAGGGACGAACCCGAGCGAAGCGAGGGTGAGCCGCTAGTACTTTAATAATGTTGTTTAAAAATTATTAAGTTTTAAATAAAAGTTTCCACACTTTTACGATGAATATATAATTAATACTTCCCAACTATTTCTCCGCATTTAACTGAAATAATTAAAATATATTTATTTATAATCTTTTAGTCCTCGTAAGCGAGGCTCGGAAAACCACTCGATTTTTAAACCGGTTTTGTTCATTGAACCCCAAACCGAAAGGCTTTTCGGTTTAAGGTTCCGGTTACGTTCTTGAACCGGTTAAATCCTGGAGAACAAGTTTTAACAAATTTAGGTTCGATGATCAAAATTAACTGGTTAAAATGTGTTCTTGTGCGTTTTCATTTGGCGAATCTTTGCTAATGGTGAATTACTTAGTAGAAGCATACATGTACGTTTCTTACTTATACTACATGTTAGCTACTACTTGCTTCGGTGGTGTAGTAGCTAGCATGTACGGAGGTCCTGGGTTCGAGTTCCGGGTCGGGCCAAGTTTAATTATTGAGTCTTTCTGTAAAGTAAGCCTCAGTAACAGCCCGAGTTGGGAAGTTGGCGGTGTTTTACCCCCGTGCCTCGGAGAGCATGTAAAGCCGTCGGTCCTGCGCCTTAACTCTCAATGGTCATGTCGAGTAGTCGTCCCACCGGAGTACAAGAGTGACAGGAATAGAGAGTAAACTTGTGTCTGCGCGTACACCGACACACACGCTGCTCTATAATATGAGTTGGCTAATCTCAATGAGAGATTCGTCGCCGTGGCCGGAATCGGTCAGTTTGACAATATTACTAATGAATGAAATAACCGGTTTATTTCAGTATAAAAAACGAAATCCAACCATTCTCTAAGAATAACCTTTAACCATTATTAGTTCGGTTTACTAAACCGTTTGTTTTCATTGACTGGTTAAGTACAAGCGATGAATTACCGAAATAAATCGTTTTTTTTTAAACCGGTTCCGAGCCCAGCTCGTAAGTACCACTTTTGTCTATAGTATTAGCGGTTCACCTTCGCTTCGCTCAGGTTCGCCTATAGACAAACAAAAACAAATCTATCCCACGGGAACCGTACATTTTTCAGGGATAAAAGTAGCCTATGTGTTGTTTTGATGTATGAGCTATATTATTGTAAAGTTTCATTAGAATCCAATCAGTACTTTTTGCGTGAAAGAGTAACAAACATCCAGATATCCATAAATTCTCACAAATGAAAAAATTGAAAAATGATTAGTCATGCTTATAACGTTATAAAAAACAGCTAGCCTATACTCCGGCCTATAAACTCTGTGTATGCAAAAATCGCATCGAACAAAAATTATTTTCATATTTGTAAGTTTAGTAAAGATTACTCACAAAGTTGACATGATATCTTTTTTATGATTTTAAATTTTATTTAAAAACAAGGTCTTAACAACCCTATTTAAAATTTAGTCCATGTATTTATTTATTCTGGTTAATCTTCAAAACGGCACTTCCTGCTAATACTTATTATTCCAGGAAGAGTAAAACATCTTCATAACTTATCAACGCGGAAAAAGAAAGTACTTATGAAGCAAATATTTTTTGTTTTTTGGCTCAATATATAAACTAGAATAACATTTTTTCTTTATTCTTCAAGACTTTGTTAAAGAAAGAATAATTAAAAAAATCATTTATAAAAAAATCACAAAACAACATGAATCAAATTCAAATATTTTCAATTTAATATTTTTTTATACTTAAAAAAGAAAGAAGCGAGTAAAAATATATTTATAAAATATATATATAAAAAATATATATAATGTACCTACTTATTTACATTAAAATTATAAGTCATTTTAATTTCAAGCTATTTGGCATATGATGAATAAATTATGATATATTATTTTTATTTACTTCCATTAAAATGTTTATTAAAATTATACATATATTATTTATTTTATATTTTCGATTTTTGTAAAACATTTCCTTTTCATATAATTCTTATAATTAGAATACTTATACGAGATTAAAATCATGTTTCATTTATTTTTAATTTTATTGTTATTAGGAAAAGCACGATGTTTTTCTCTTTTCTTTTCGCAGACATGACTATATCCGTAGATAATTAGATATGTATATTAATAGCGAACAATTTGATAAATGATATATAAATTGAATTTATTTAATGTTTCATTACTTCATTTGATATATACAAATAGATATATTTTCAGTCGGTATATTACCACTGAAACGTTCCAAACAAGGTACAATGTCTACTTACAGCAAAAACGATACAAGTCACAAAATTCCGAGCCAAGCAACTCCTGCGCACGCACGTCACGCCCGTTGCCGTATATTTTTAATATAAAAATATCTAGTCTCGTATCGAATCATAAAAATATAAATATTTTAGGATCGACCGCTCGCGCAGCACTAAGCTTCGTCTACCCATTGACGTAGCCGTTTCGAACTAATTTCGGTGCAGCGACTATTCCGCGATTCTGTAAACATCGCAGTGGTGATGAAATACGTCCAGTGATACCAGAACCGTACCCCACTGTACGTTCCTTAGGAAATGTATCAAGCTTTCAGCTACGAAAGATTCTCGGTAGACCAATGGAAATTGGTTGTTTTACCACCTCACAACTATATAAGTGCAGGCGGAGTAAACTCTAAATGGAGGGACGAAAATCTGTTTTCGCATAAAACATGTTTGGGTTAAATTTGTAAGCAATAAGTTCTGTTTTAGGCACGCCGTGAGTCAGCCACGATGAGGAAATGCGTGCAAGTTATAATTTCGGAACGACCGACATTGTTTAATGGTTTTATAAATCTGAATCGTACGCATTTCCTTCGGAAACTAGCGTGAGATCATTTGCGAAACTTGTAACGATATGATAAATATGTATGTGTTAAGTTGGACTTGGCAGGACAAACGGTTACAGCAGTACCTATATATAATAATATATTGGAAGTGACTATTAATCCAGTTACTGTATGACTAATATATAAATACTAGTTATTGGAGACAATTAACTCTGTCCATCCATACTACCTAGTATTATAAATGCGAATGTACTGTCTGTCTAAGTAAAGTCTGTCTGCGTTATGTTTTACCACCTAAACCGCTAAACCAATTTTGATGAAGTTTGGTATAGAGAGGGATGGGACAATAACATTAAACTTTATTTAATTAACTTTATTTTAACTGCAATACCTAAGCCCTATTTATTAATTACTTAGTTGCCTGTTTTTTCACCTGCTTCGGCGTACCCAGGCTATTTTTTTTTTATAATTTGAAAACGGAAAATATTGTTTCTGATACAACCCCTGTAGTGTTAAATTTCATAAATCTCTTTGTTACGTTTCTTAACAGAATAGACTCAGAATGATTATTTTTGGCGATGAGTTAGGACATATAATTACCAAATTTAGTGTATATGCGTATATTAATATTATGTGATCTGCGGTAAAAGTAAAGAATCTGCTTATCTAGGTAAACTAATATAGCATATAAAGTAAAATGGCCGAAATGAGATCTGGGATATTTTTAATTTTTATTTCAGTTACCTACTGGCTACTACGAATTTGATTATTTATTGATTAAAATAATAATAATATCCTCCTGACCGATTCCGGCCACGGCGGTCAATCTCTTTGAGACAGTCAGCTGCGCGGAAGATATTATAGTGCACAAGTGTACGCGCAGACACAACGTGAACTCTCTATTCCTGTCACTCTCAAAGTCCAATGGGACGATACTTCGACGCGACTTTAAGGCGCAGGATCGACGGCTTTACTTTATAGGTCGGAGGCACGGGAGTGAAACACCGCCAACTTTCCAACTCTGGATTACTACTGAGACTATTTTAACAAAAAAATATCATTAATTAAATTTGGCCCGATCCGGAACTCGAACCCAGGACCTCCGAATCTCCCCCCCAACGTGCGTTCACCTTGTCGTAGTGGGGGGGCTCAGTAGCAGTAGCGAAGCTAAGAAACGCACAGGGAGGTTGCCCACTTCGGTGGGCGGTGGGAGGTGGCCCTCTTCGGAGGGCGGTGTACCATGCGGGTTGCTCCTGGTACTTCTCTGATAGCAGAGTGGACTGTGGAGCAACCCCATGGTTGTGGTGGTCTGCTTCGGCGGACCTGCCGTCGGGGCGTCGTAGTTGAATGCGTAAGCGATCCTGCGACGCCCCATCAAGACGGGGGAAGGTTTTGTTGGGTTTTAGTGGGTAGTACTGGCTGTATTACGCCGGTGAGTCCCACACGTCGTGCGTAAATGCATTTCCCAACGTTAAAAAAAAAAAAAGGACCTCCGAATCTGCAGCCATAAATGCTAATCACTAGATCACCGAGGCAGTTAAAAATAGTACAGGGATTCGATCGGTTCGCGCAGTATCATAAATTATGGCTGAAAACATTCAAAAAACTAAAAAAAAAAACACAAAATATGGATTACATTAAAATTTTATTATCATTTGCTTAACCACGTATCACTTATGCAGCACTACAGTCCGTTTCTTACAAAATCGTTTGAGCGGTCGTCATTTAACGCTACGCAGTGTGTCACAGGCCTCCGTCATCTTCAGTCCCTCCATGATATAAAGAAGGTTCTCCACTGATGCATCTTCATCATCATCAAACCACAATTGCAGCATGTTCTTTGCCCTAGCTACATCCGTTGCGTTTTCGGTTTCAAAGAACTGTATTTCATCTGGTTTGTAGCCGAGTTTTGCGGCTAGTTTTTTCCAGTCGGCCATTTTTGTCGCCAGCGCGTCTAATTGAGTTGGAGTTATCATTGTGACTCGGGACCGCGACGTCTTGTCGTCTTCCTCTCCGTGAGTTGAGTCTGGTACCTGATAAATTAATATTACTTATGTAAATCCATTCTAATATTATAAATGCGAAAGTAAATCTGTCTGTCTATTTGTCTGTTACTTTTTCACGCGTATTCGAAGGATATATTTGTATAAGGTTATATATACGGGGGAAAAGTTTGTATGGGGAAGCAAACGTATTTCAATTCTTTTATTTCATATTTTAATTTTTGGTTAGGTTTGTTTATATAATTATATTTATTTGAATGTTGCGTACATATATAATTTGGAGAGCTTTAAAATGATATTCATACGTAGCGGTAATTTTGTTTTCTGTGTCTGTACCTACCTAAAGATATAAAATAATAATAACGCCCTCGTTTTATTTTATCTCATTGTTTTTGTATATATTGTGTTGTCTGTTGTAGGTTCTTATTTTACAACAAATCGCTTAGTAAAATAATTTCGCTTAGTAAAAGACTTTTCTTAGCTCTTCTTGTAAAGCGCTGACATTCATTGGGCCGTATTTCTGCCATAATAAGGAATATGCGTGATTTTTTTTAATTTATACAATAGCTAACATCGTTATATAATTGTAAAAAAAATATTCAGCTCTAAAAAACTAAAATTTCATATAATCAATTTGTAGCGACAAAATCGCTAATCGCTCTGTTATGATAATACTTTGACGTCATATTCGGTCTGACCAATGGCGTGCGTTTCAATTACTTTGAATTTATATGTATATTTACAACATAACATCTGAAAAAAAATATATCTTAAATTATACAAAAATAAAAATATTTTTTTTGCACCTTCTAAACGGTAATAGTCCAGCATTAGCAAAAGAAAGTGCGTGTCCGGTGGTGGGGGTGGGGTGGAGGGGTGTAGGAAGCGGTCCTTACTCATTTAAACTTGGCCAGATACTAGAACTTTAAAGTTTAGAAGGTGCAAAAAAATTATTTTTATTTTTGTATGAAAATAAAAATTTAATACAGGGTCATTTTTAATTTACTGAAAATATAAATATATTTATATAAATATTTCATATTGATTAAATCACACACCTATTCCCTATTAAGTAAAAAAATGACACAATCTTTACAACAATCATGAATAACGCGATGAAAAGCTCAGAAACAGTAAACGTTCAGTAATATTCAACATTCTAGAGACCTCACTTTACATTAGCTCCCTCTTGGGGCGAATTCAAGCACGGTAGCCCTCATTTTAGCTACATAAGAAGCTATGTAATATATATTAGAAGTAATTAATAAAATCGAACAAATAGGCGAAAATTATTATTTTATCAACTAGTTTACGTTTGATACAATTTTTGCATATTGGCATTTTTAGCTATTTTTTTTGCTTACTTGTAACTTTGTTTTATAAAACGCATACGTTAAAATATGTTAAATACAAATAAATATTGTTTTTCCAAGTAACCTGTTCCATATCAGCTGTGTCTTCTTCTTTAATAATATCCGTTTCGATTTGCTCTTCAGCCATTTCTTCTTCAACTTGTTCCTGTTGAAAATAAATGAACATTAATAAAATTGCTTACGTAAAAAACTCTTCATCCTACTAATATTATAAATGCGAAAGTTTGTGAGGATATATGGGATGTCTGGATGTATATATGTATGGATTCTTGTTACTGTTTCACGAAAAAGCTACTGAATGGATTTTAATGAAACTTTACAAATAATATAGCTCATATGTACATCAGAATAACACATAGGTTACTTTATATCCCGGAAAAATGAACGGTTCCCGGGGGATATATTTGTTTCTTCTTTCTAGAGGCGAACCCGAGAAAAGCGAGGGCGAGCTGCTAGTATAAATATAAAGTACAAATTTACTACACGCTGTTATTGCAATACATTGAATGTAACTCCGATAAAACTACAGAGCAACTGATGTATTGGCGTTTTGATTAATTTTGCCATGATTGCTGTAAAGCATCGAAAATCATCGAAGGGTCAGAAACTAAAAATTAAAATAAATCGACGAAACAATCGAAAAAAAAACAATCGTTTTACATGAAATGTCAAATATCCGCGTAAATATAAGAGACTATTTGCGGGATAAAATTCTTGATTAGACCTCCACGGAATAACAAGGAAGGGCGGACCATGAATTTGAGGGGCTCTGGATGAAATGAAGACAACGCTCTTTTTTTTGTTCCTAAATCTAATTTGATCTCAGGGTTTAATATAAGCCAACTTTTATGATCTTAATTCCTTTTTACTGATTTCGGCCACGGAGGCCATTTTCTCTATTCCTTTCACTCTCATACTTTCATGGGACGATACTTCGACACTCCCAGTAAAAGTGAAACACCACGAACTTCCTAAGCTGTTAATGGGATTTTCTTAACCGAAATCCTCAATAACTAAACCTGGCCCGACTCGGGCTCAAACCCAGCACCTCCAGAATTCTACTCTACTAGACTAGTAATATAAGACCTGTTTGACGGCTTTGTCACTGCCGCTAGACGAGTCGCCGTTGACGTTGCTCGATGCTGCGTTCGCTGCTACTTCACGGCTTATTTTTTTCACCTGAATACAATAAAGAATTCTAATATTAAACAGTTTTAAATAAAACTTTTTTCGGCTTTTGTCGCGGTTTTATTTTGAACTACGGTGTATTTTTTTTAAGTGTTATATAGACTAACTCTCGTCTATTGCGATTACGAGTATGAAGTCGGTAAAGTTATTAAATATACAAACAACATAAGCCACTCACCATATCATCCAAATAATCAGGCAGTTTGCCGATAGGGTTGTTGGTGTGCACGAAGAAGTGCGGAGAGCGTCGCGCCAGCAGCCGCAGCGCGCGCCACCCCCAGCCGCCGCCCCACGCGCCCGCACCCCCTGCGCCACCCCCCGCACCCCCCGGGCCACCCCCCGCACCCCCACTCAGCATATACGACTCTGGGTCAAACATTCGATAATAATAATTTACACTAATATTACAGAAATTATGTTAAATTACTGCGCTCACTTAAACTGCATAAAGGTGTCTGTCCACTACACCATCTCACACCATGACCGTGCTAGGACCGTGTCAGGCAAAAAAATATTCTTGGTATTGAAAAGTATGAGACTCTAGACCCTGGCCTACTAGACCGTTCCGTCACCGACCGGTACCGCCCCGTGCCTGGCACGCGACGCTGCGGGCGCGGTGCGCGCCGGCGGCGCAATGGTGAATGGTCTAGTGGGCATAGTAGTCCGTGCCATGCTCGTTTCCGTGCCTGATACGTTCAAACTTCATAGCGCAGTCATGGTATGAGATGGTGTAGTGGGCAGACTCCTCAAGGGTCAAAGTCAGAGATTGAGAATTTCAGTTGGAAATACTTTTTAAAACTAAAACTATTGTACAATGTTGTCTCATTTATTGCTTATATATTAGAATAGTCAACGACACATGTATTGTTAGTAACAATGCGTTCGTATTTTAATTTTATCTCATTTAAAATACTCGAAAAATCATTTCGGGAATGCTTCTATAACCTATTAAGGGATTTCCCTGACAGACCAAGAAACACATCAACTCCTGATATAACAGGAGTCTAATAATAAGTGGTTAAGTTTATTTCTGGATCCTGTTAAGAAATTAGTAATATATGTATATAAACTGACCTAAGGAGGGCATGAAGTCCCTCTCTTTGGTGCGGCAAGCTTCTAGATTGTCTGGGCAGAGATTCCACAACTTTGTCAAGTCATTGCTGAAATTATTGAATTTAAAAATTTATTATAATTTAAGAGTGGTTTTTTAAATACGTATATAAAAATGAACAATAAATATAATTATAGACACTGTAAAATAAGAACCAAAAATCAAAATAAAATGTGAAAAAATCCGAATACATATATTTAAAATGGCAGATATTAGCTCAGAAAAACATTAAATAAATCTTTGTTTTTGAAGTAAAACTTCTTTAGGCGTGACTGAGGGACATAGGAAAAATGTCAATACATAGGAAAAATGAGAGTCGAATTCGAAAATTTCGAAAAAATGAGATTGAATTGGATGAATGTGTTGCAGAAGTGAGAGTCAAATTTTAATGATGATAAAAACAAACAGACCATAGACTAAAATTCATAATAATTATTATTTATAACAATGAGTATTTGTTACTAATAATGTTATATTAATTATCATATTTATATCTTGATTTGTTTTAAATTTTAATTCAATTGCGGTATCTGTCACAGCGCCAAAGAAGTTTTACTTCAACCATAAAGGTAACTTACACATTTTTTTTAAATATACATATTATACTGATAGTAAAGACTCAATGTGCTGCCGTTTCTAATCCTATTCAATATAAGTATGGTAATAAGTACATACTTTCCCATGAAGAATTTTTCTTGTCCTTCATATTCCTTAATAATGTCACCGACCGGTCGCCGACGTTTTTTAGCTTTTCTGACTTCATCAGTGGATTCAACTTGCACTGGTGGTTTGGGTTTCATAAATTCTAAAATAAATTTTAAAAATTTATAAAGGCTATTTTAAAATTTTTTGCTATCTTTTTTTATATATTGGAATCTTTATATAATGTTATAATTGTTGCTCCCAGTCTACTCTGCTGTCAGGAGTCAGAAGTACCAGGAGCAACCCTCATGGTACACCGCTCGCCGTAGTGCACCACCTCCCTGTTTGTCTCTAGCTTCACACTGTGTTGCCGGACGCTACTTTTCCACTGCATTAAAGATGGGTAACCCAACAAACATTTGCAGATCACATAAACAATATTAATAGATTAAAAAAAATGGTATACAAATAAAGTAATTAACCTGGGCATCCATCATTTTTCCAACTGTTCCAATGTTCCTCTCTCTTGAGTATACTTTTTACACAATCTGCAAAACGCTTTCCATCTGGAGGTGTCTCACCCAACAACTTGTATATAAGTGATGTAGTTTCCTTTACCCAGTCTAGTTGATCCGATTTTAATTCTTGAGATTCCCTAGAAGCGAAAGGATTAGGTTTAAAACAGACCTTTTTAGGTCTTTAAGAGAGAGAGAGAGAGGAGGGGAATATTTTTATATATTTACTAAGGGATTGGGAATATACCATAAAAATTAACACTTTAGTTACTTTATAATTAATTGTAATAAATATAGAAAGTGTTTTTCCATATACAAGTATATATTGACTACAAACTCACATCTTAAATTTAACAGTAGAGGTCAAATACTGGAACAAAATCAGGAACTGTATGAGCACACATCTCCTAAAATTTGAATCTGACAATTGCAGTTCTAAAAGTTTTTGATTTGTTAAAAACTTGGCAAAATAGTGTTGTTCTTTATTCTCTTGCATTTCAATATTAGCATTTACTGGTTTTAATCTGTTCAGCTTAGATTTCTGTAGTTCAACAGCTTCCAACTTGTAAGATGAGAATGCTGATAGAACACTCCCAGAATGCTGGAAAATAACAATGAAGACAAGATGGTTTTTGATATTCAGTTTTTAAACAATATATACAAACATTATATAAATATTGTAACATAATATATAATTACTTACAGCAACAAATGTTTTCCATTGTAGTTTATTATAACATGTGTTTGGATTACGGAAAAAGTCTTGTAAACTCCAAAATCTACAGTATAAATTGTAGTCTATGGCCAGTTTGTTTTTATCATCATCAATAACCATCTCTTCATCTAGAGAATCTTTTAAAGTACTTGTATTATCACCTCCAAATTCAGTTACATTTTCTAGATTGAATTCAGAAACAATATTTAGCCCTGAACGTTCAGAAAAAGGAAAGAATTTAGCCAAAAACAATAAAATTCGGCCACAAAACACTGTATTCTGGGACCGAGAGAGACGCCTTAATAAATCATTGCACATTCTCAGTAGATTGTTCTTACAAGCTACGAAAAACAGTTCTTCTCGCCAAATATTAACGCCATTCTCTACGTACGTAAATAACTTCTCGCATTTATTTAAAGTCAGTGCGTCAAATATATCGCCAAGAAGAACTACTGGCATAGTAGGTGTTACCATTTGTCGTCTACATGATTCTATGCAAAAACAGACATAGTTTTCCAACGTATCTGGTTCTTCTATAAGTAATTCCAAAAGCTTATCTCTAAATGCTTGGTCCATTGCAGCTTTTCGATCTGTTTCATTGGCATTTTTTGAAAATGAATCCAAGAGATCGATGTTATTTGTTGCGAAAGCTTTTGATAACACATCCTGTAAATGTATATGATTTTAATGAACAATACATATAGAAATAAGCAAATATAATTTTGATTTAAAGGTTATAATAAGACGCACTTTATATTTCACCCGTAACTCGTCGAAACCATTTTTTTCGGACATATTGAACAATTCAGATTGTAATTACACTTTTCTTTAATAATTTAATAGTAGAATCAATTTCGACACTATTTTATAATAACATTTTTTCGTAACAATTTGACAAATGACAATCCAAGCGCAAACTAGACAGAGATATAATATCACAGATTATGGATAATATTATGTACCACAGACTTAGTAGAGGTAGAAAATGTATGTAACGGGGGAAGAATTTTGCCTTTTTCTCCCGCCACATGTCGCGATCACTATAACCCTCAGTATATTGGAAAGCTCTGTAACGTAGATAGTTTTTTTTTTCATTTTATTTAAAATTTAATTAAACGGATAAATTGCGCAGTGCTACTATGTGGACATCATTTTACGGAAAGTGAGCTTAAAACTCTTAAATCGTCTATAGTATATAGTCGTCTATAGTATATAGTATATAGTCAGTGCACTGACTGATGGATTAACACACAGCCTATTAATGCACCTCTCCTTCTCAATTTTTCTTTCAGCTGGTCTAACTTCCAGATACAATACAATGCAAAGGTAAGATATGAACACAATAGAAGCAGAAAACCAGGTATAAAAGAGATAATACAATAAAAAAATGCTTAGCCTCAGACTGAATGTAAATAGGTCATACGTGTGGCACCCTCCTTTCGAGAAATTCTGCCCACTCTTAATACTTTTATCCGTAGATGAATAGTTACCTAAAATTTTATATGATTTAAGATTTAGTTATAATAATAATTTGCATTAGCTGAGACTAGAATATATAAAAATATATCGATTACTATTTATCAATTATATGAAATTAATTTATTTGCGTCATATCACATAATAAAATATAGAATTAGTTTTCCTACCAGCATATTTTTCTAATATAATGTAAAATAAAACCCATTTTTTATTTTATTGTGTTAGGTGTGTTTTTATATATATTTAATTGATACTACCTATGTAATTTGTTTATTTTAAATAATGTTATTATACTCTGATGAATTAATTACATTACTCTTCTGTATGCTCTGTTACATTCGATGCAGCATAATTTGTTTAATATGATTGGTTAAAACTGTACACAAACGAAATTCCACCAATCATAACAAAGTATTTTTGGGCAGCTGGACAGCTGTATCAATGTTGACAGTTAATAGAATTGATGTTTTCTTGTCGTGTGTGGCGTCTTGTATATTTATCTTTCTTTTAAGTAATTTAACCACAATATTGCATTTAAAGTAGTGTATTTTATTAAATATAACACTAACTGTTAATAGCTAGGTGTATATATCAATAGAAATTAAATAATCGTAAGAATAGTGTTCTGATTAGCTTTTCTAATTCTAAAATGGATAGAAATAATATGAGGTAAGAAAGATGCTTTGTTGTCCTATCGTTTCACTTCCATCCATTTACATGGATTCATTACATGAATATTATTCAAGTTATTATGTATATTTTGGCGCGTATCTGATTTTATTCATGTTAAGATTAAGACAAGTGAGCCATTTATGTTTACGATATATTTTGTGATACTGCATTTTTAGTTTTTACAGTACGATGTTTTTCAACAATCGAAATATTTTTTAAACATATGTTTTACCTTTGTGATAATATTTTGTACTAGGTATATGAAATTATTGGCTAACTGTAATACACATGCTTTGTTTTATTTATGTTGTTATCAATTCTTATCTTTGTATTGGACGCTTACATTGCATGATTGCGATATTGTTAGTAGATTATAAACAATAAATATTAATATTTTGCTATGAACCAAAAAAGTAATATTAAGTGACTGTTTTCCTAAATTTTAAATTATTTATATTTTTCTCACGTAAATGCTATATTCTACATACATTTAGTGAGTTCTATCTTATCAGTACATCTAATAGTGTATAATGATAATGCCATACACTCTAAATTGAAGTACCTAGTTCCAGTATACAATTGAAGTTTGAAATCATAGTTTTTTCATATTTTCAGATCAAACTATGTAAATAGTGGGCCTCGGTCACTGCCACACATGGGGGGTGGTAAAAGACACAATGGCAATGGCCATAATGGATCAAGACTCAGTCCTCCAGCACAGCTGGCAAACAATAACCACAATAACAATAATCAGCATGATGATCTCATTAATTATATATTTGAATCTTGGAATAAGGTATATTTTAATATTAATATTAAAAAAATGTTTTTCCTTATATAAATATATATCTGCCTCTGGCTGACCAAACTTGGCTCATGTTTTTTGGAAAAAATAAAAAAAATGTGTTTTTGTAGAAAATATACCTATTTAAATAAACCTAAAAAAGCAAAACCTTATGTAAATACAAAATTTGATCTTTGGATCATAAGAGCCGTTTCTGAGATACACAAAATAAAATTATATATATACAAAATTTGCTTATTTAATATTATAAGAAACATAAATATGTTCATATTAAGGTTGCAAGTCAGTGTAAATGATATAAGATACATTTAAATAACTTCTATATCACAATGTTAGTATTTAAAAAAAAACCTGGATAAGGTTGAATAAGTTTAGATTCACTGAAATCATAATTAAATAGTCATAAAGAAACCAGTACTACTCACTAAAACTCGACAGAACCTCCCTCGTCTCAATAGGGCGTCGCAGGATCGCTTACGCACTCAACCACAAAAGTAAAAAGTAACCATGCATTAAACCAAACAACCAGCTTTAATAAGATCTTTTCCAAATTAGACTCAAATTCATACAACGTCTTACAACACTAAGTCGTTTTATTCATTTCAGGTGACCCGTGAACTAGAAAGAGGCAGTGAAGATGCAAAATACTATCAAGAAGTTCTCGCCCCACGCCAACTTGCAAACTTTAGACCATTCAATCTGGAAGAATGGTGGGGCCGTAGAGTGATTCAAAGCATAAACCGCAATAAGCACCGCTCTTAGTTCTTACAATGTTAGTAATATCTCATTGTGACTTCATTCAATATACACTATTTGAATATAATTTAGTCTACATAAAATGATGCAACTTTGAAAAAAAACTGTTTTCTGTCAATAATAAATGTTATAATAGACACTGTTGAATATATATGAAATACTATCATGCATTATATAAATCTACTTTTCTCTTCACTTACATTTCTAGGCCAAATTAATGCTAGTGGTTCTAAATAAAACTATCTTTTCGGATTTTTTCGCCGATTTATTTTCATTTTTGGTTCCCGACGTTGCAAATTGTTTATAGCAAAACCAAAAATCAAAATAAATCCGCGAAGGAATTCGAAAAGATAGTTTTATTTAAAATGTCAAATATTCTCGTAAATCTAAAAAAGTAAAGTGGCTATTCTGTTCTATATTACAGCTATTAAAAATACCTTATCTTTAGAAGGTTTTATCTACTAGAGATAGATAGTTGACAGAAGCTACTAAGTAGTAATGTCAAACGCCTATCTCTAGGTAGGTTAAAGTATCGAAAGATAGGTTATTTATTAGGCCGTTAGGAAACCACCTATCTAGACAAGATTGCTGTGGCCTTAGACTAAAATTATTTTCAATGAAAAAAAATCTTTAAACTTTTTAATATACATACACCCTTAATATTTCTACAGTCACTAAATTGGTAATTTGTTTTGCACTGCACATATTCAATTTGAAATAAAATAATATTTTTTTATATAATACAATATATATATCCACATTTATTATAGATATTTATCATAAAAAATGTGATTTAATAAATGGCAATAAATATTATGTACAATTAGATTGTTAGATAATGATGTACAATGAGATATTTTAACTTATTCGAAGCGTGTTTGACGATTTGTGATCTAAGTCTCCCAACAAAGTGACGGTACGATTTTCTCTTATTACATGTCATTTTATTTAAACAATTGTCAATTCTTTTTTTAAATAAAATTGGGAGCGTCTGAATTTTTTAAAGCACGTAGGAGATTATTAAGTAGGTTTTGTAAAAAAAATATAAGTTAGCATGAATTTCTATTTTTACTTGTAATTTTAAGGAAATGTGTTATCAACGTTTAGAATCAGCTAGATAATTCGTGTTTTAATCATGACTCGGTCTAGTGCTTATTTTCAAGTGTTTTTATATAATGAGATTGTTTGACAAAACAACAATATCTATACATTTTTTGCAATTATATTGACATCACATACCTAGGTGTGTAAATCGTTTTTAGGGGTAACTAGAATGGGTCCTTTGCGAGATTATATTTATGAATTTCTAGTATATTTTATGTATTGAATAAATGCATTTTAACTAATAGTTTTATTGATACATATTTTAAAGTTTTTCGATTTTAACTTACAATTAGTCTATAAATATTTTTAAAATAAAAAAATATTTGATTCGATTTGGACAAGTTTTTAACATTTTTATATAGTAACATTTTAATTGTTAATAGCATAATAGAAAACGCATAAAATTTCGAATAGCCAATTTTTTTATAATGTTATAATGGCCTCTTGACGAATTGCGGCCACGGCGGCTAATCTCATTGAGACTAACCATCTGAGCTCCTGCTCAGATGGTTAGTCTCAATGAGATCTCCTGATGTTATAGTGTACAAGTGTACGCGCAGATACAAGTGCACTCTATAATTCCGGTCACTCATACTCCAGTGGAGTTGAGAGTTGAGGCACCGGACCGACGGCTTTACGTGCTCTCCGAGGCACGGGGGTGAAACACCGCCAACTTCCCATCTCTGGGCTGTTACTGAGGCTTACTAAACGCAAAAACTCCATAACTAAACTTGTCCCGACCCGAGACTCGAATCCAGGACCTCCGGATGTGCAGGCGTACATGCTAGGCAATACACCACTTAGGTAATTAAGTATAATGTACAATAAAATGTACTAGAATTTATAACTTCTAAATTATTCGTATTTGGGATGAATTTTTTCAATTAGAAAAAGGACACGTTCTATGCACCTTTGATACTCAACTATGGTAATATAATAAACTATATAAGAAACTAACTAACCATAATAAGAAACTAGGTATATTTATTTTAAAACAATATTATTCAAGCGACATTCCATACATTTTGTCTTGTACTTAGCATTTGAAATAATTATTGTAAATATTTTGAAAAGCGACAGAACAGATCACGGAATTTAATAAAACATTTTTAAGAAAAATATGTATTTTTTTGTTTTATTTATATATATATATATATATATATATATATATATATATATATATATATATATATATATATATATATAAGTTTATTGTCAAAAAAAGTTTCAACAGTCGATTAAATATGAAAGACGATTAAAAATCACTTCAAAAAGTAATTAATTTTTCCATTTCTCGGGGTTAAGAAAGTACTTAAATAAACAAAGAAATACTTCTGCATTGAGTTCCTTAATTTTTTGAAGTCGGTCAAGAATAGACTTTGTGTCACATTTATATTTTATTTGTCATCCATCCATGGTTTATATCATACTCACCCTCGCTTCGCTTTGGGTTCGTCCTAAGACAAAAACTAATCTATCCCACGGGAACCGTACATTTTTCCGGGATGATATATAGCATATAGCCTTCCTGAAAAAACGGTTTATCTAATACAAAAAGATTTTTTTCAAATTGGAATAGTATAGTTCCTGAGATAAGCGCGTTCAAACAAACACACAAACAAACTGCCTCTTTATAATATTAGTATAGATTAGTTTTAAATTTCCTCCTTTATTTAAGAACGGAAAACAGGTACTATCAGTTATAAATATTAAAATTGATTTAGCTGTCCTTTATGTCTGCTTTTTAAAAGTTTTTTAGTTTCGCTTCTAATTTTGCTGTCAAATCTTGGAATTGGAACTTTGTTATCAAATCTTAGCATTAGATTTTTGTCTAACTTAGAAATGGATCATCAATAATCTTTAGCTATTGGATCGAAGAGAAACTTTGTATGTATGTGTAATGATGTCAAGACAATTTTATATCGTCAAGTAGATGATCGTGCTCGCTTACGATTTTCAAAACATGTTTTATTAGATATTTTTACAATTGTTAATTAAAAATATTTTCAAAAATAATGTACCGGTATGGATTATATTTGTGTATAAAGTCTGAAAAAAATCGTCTTCCGGAGTGCACCCGAGCGAAGCATGGGTAAGCAAATAAGTATAAAATAATTTATCAAGAAAAAGTAAGTACTCATTTTTCCCCAATGTAATAATACACAATATAAATGTATATATAAGACTTTAAATTCGTACCTATTTTAGGCATTAAAAGGACCACCAAAACTAGCCTAATCCAAACGTGAAGAGCTTCGATCAAAGTGATTTGAAAGTTTCCTGATCTATGCACAAGCGTGCTCTAGTGACGGACGGATATTTTTATTACACTCGATCAGATATCTATTCTGGGCATTCATATTCTCGTGCGTCAAACAACAGTTGTAGGTTCAAAGGGGTATTTACGTTACGGCCCGAGGCTCACAGTGCGATCTAATGAGTTTGGCGGACTTCTCATTTCTGAACTTAAACAAAGCAGATTATACTAACTTTTTTTGTGTGGTTTTGTTTGGCTACTTATTTTCTATTTTTAATATTGTGATGGTTGTTGAAAAGCAATTTTTTTAAATGTGTAAATGTTCTTATTATTTTTCTCAAAATATTTAACTAGCGACCCACACTTGCTCTGCTCGGGTTCGTTCCTAATTACGTTTTAACATTTAGTATAGATTTCTCAGAGATGAGATATTTTCCCGCAGTAAAAAGTATCCTATAAATATGTTGACCCGGAGAGCGGTTAAGACGGGAAAAGTTCCGTTGCGTTTTAGTGGGTAGTACTTACTGGCTTTGCCGGTGAGTCCCACACTTCGTGCCTAAATGCATTTCCCAACGTTAAACCATAAATAACCACCTATCACCATACCAAATTTGATCAAAATCTCTCCAGTGGATTTCTCGTGATACGTTCATAGACAGATAAAAATTATAAAAACTATAGATTCCGCCTCCGTATCATTAATATAATGACTATTTCGATAAGATTTTACAAAAAATATTTCATGCACGGATTTGACTCAGATATAAACATTACATATACTCGTATTAGGATAGTAAAGCTAAAAAACACATTTATCACTAAAGCACTATAAACTAAAATAGATGATGCATTCGATTTGTAATAAAACAATAAATAAGTCTATTAGTTTTGTATTATACTATAGTAGTAGTACATACTTTAAGACTCTCATCATTAATCGTCAAGTTTATAGCCTAGACTAGCGACTCACCCTCGCTTCGCTCGGGATCGTCCCTGGTAACGTTTTAACAGCTAGTAGGGAAAAGATAGACTATATATTAGTATAGGTATATACCTACATACATATGTATGATGAGTTTTATATCCCTTACTCGAAGAAATAATTGGTTCCACATACAAACTTTCATCCCCCCTTTTCAATCTCTTAAGGGATGTTTTACGGGATAAAAACTATCGTTTGTGCGTTGTTGACCCAGGCTCTCAAACTTATCTTCGTATCAAATTTCATCTAAATCGTTCCAGTAGTTTCGGAGCCTATTCAATACAAGCAAACAAACAAACAAAACAAAACAATTTTTTCCTTTTTAAAATATTAGAAATTAGAATAGATCTTCTAGTCTTGGGCACCTCATATTAACGAACTAAGTAAACGTATGCATTTTTCCTTTCATTCTCTCAAGCGTCTCCAATACTTTCTCCCATTCAAAACCAAAGTAATGCTAGTGCAATCCATCCTATTACCCATTCTCGACTACGCCGACGTCTGCTTCCTGGATGTGACAGAGGAGCTACTTAATAAAATGGAACGTCTTCAGAATCTCTCCATACGTTTTATCTTTGGCTTGCGGAAATATGACCACATCTCTTACTTCCGTGCTCAACTTGAGTGGCTCCCCATCCGTCTTCGCCGTAATATGCACACCCTATCATTCCTTTATAATATCCTTAAAAATCAAAATTTCTCTCCTTACCTTCGTTCCCGTTTTAACTTTCTACCAATCCCTACACGTTCCAGAAGATCTTGCAGTACTTCTATGCTCGACATTCCTAGGAGCAATACTAAATTCCAACAAAATTCTTTTTCTGTCCATGCCGCAGTACTATGGAACCAACTGCCCAAAACCATCCATGAGAGCCCATCTATTCATGTCTTTAAATGTAAATTAAAAAAATATTTATTATCACAAATGTAGACAGTATCAATCAGTACCTTTCTCTATTTTCATATTTTATATATTAAGTATGTATATGTATACATGTATGTATAAGTAGTCTTTACATTAGGTATTATATATGTATAGTATTATATATTTTTATAAGTAATACATGTATATATGTATGTATATATGTATGTATGTATGTATGTATGTATATGTGATTATTATTACCTTTATTTCTAGTATATATTTAGTATATTTTTTGTACTATATGGCCCGCTGACATCTTCCACAACCAGGGGTTGACTGGAAGAGATCTATTTTAGAGATAAGTCCACCTTTGTTAATTATGTTTACTTTGTTATTTTTTTTCTGTATCATATTTTAAGTGCAATAAAGGATATAAATAGATAAGTATAATATTAGAAAAGTAATAAGTATTGAAATTTAGAGGTAATAAGTAGATCTAACCTTTAGATTATATAAATCTTCATAAACTATTAAAGCAAAACAAGGAACCCGTAAAAGTAAATGTTATCGTAAAAATGTCTACGGACGTCTTAAAGTTCATTATAGTGGCCAGTGATTCCTCGATAAAGGAGCCTCGGTAAGCTTCTTTGTGCTCGCTATTTGCAAGTCAATGTTCTACATTGGACCAATGAGAAATTGATAGTCTAGTTTAAAAATAATGTGTTCAATAACAATGTACATTTTTAAGGGTATTTGGATATTTTTAAATACATACGAGTATATAAAACTTATCACACTTACTCTACACTACTGTTATAAAGAGGAAAGATTTGTATTTTTGTATGTAACAAATAAATTCAAAAACTACTTGACCGATTTAGATAAAATTCGGTAAGAAGATAGTTTGAAACCCTAGGAAGGACATAAGATATTTTTTATTTCGGATATCATTCCTGAAGGGAATGAAAATGAGGATGAAAATTTTGTATGGGGAATCAACATAGGGACGAACCCGAGCGAAGCAAGGGTGAGTCGCTTAGTAAAGAGTAAATTTTAACAATAATATTATGATCACATCAAATAGGTGCTATAATATATAAAATACATTTTTTTTAATTTACATTTTAAAGAAAAAAATAACAATTATTTTAAAACTATGAAATTGTTGTCAATTAAAGGAGAGTTAATTGACATATGGAGTTCAACTATTCGCAAAGTCTTTGTTGATTTCAGTTCATACTTCGTTTTATATTTATAAAGAGAAAGCTTTATTCTAATGAAACGTTCCTTTCGTACCCTTCTCACTTTATGTTTTACTTTTCCTGGCATTTTGTAACCGGGACATTATTAGGTAAGACACAGTTTTACATTTAATGGCATTGTGATTTTTTTACTTCCTTAAAATAGTTATAGAGGCTCTATTTAGATAAGGCTTTATTGTTCCACTCATCGAAAAGATATAGGTATAATTGCATTCAAAAACTTATATATTTCTCATAATCAAATATCTAGTTTGGTAGGTTATTAACAGAAAGGCAGGTTTATAATAACTTTCTTTATTCGTCATTAGTCATATTCGCTTGAGTCGTCGGGATCTGTCCGATTTTTTTGTATTTTTATTTGTTACACAAATAATGCAAGAAAGAACGCTTTTTCACAATATATAAACCACGGCTAGTAAAAACGCTACTTTAAAAACAACTAGAAAAATATACGTGGTTCATATTGTAGTGTAAAATCGTTCTAATACACTCTTTTAATATAAAAAAGCTAAAACTAAAATGAATTTAACTATTAAATCTCTTTCCTTTTATCTAATAGAAAAGAAATATTAACCAAAATTACAATTACGAAGGCTTCATGTACCTATAAATAATAAATGCCACCGATATCCAAAGAAAAATGGACTTTATAATCATAATAATATAGTGGTATATCGTTTACTTGAATTTTTGCCTTAATTGGCACTGCAAAAAGAAATAAACTTTATTTTTAAAGTAGCAAAGTTCAATTTTGTAATTTCTATGTGAGGCCCAATTTGTTTCTTATTTATCTCAGCCCAAATTTCTATATAACATCAGTGACAGAGTAAAGTAAAGGAAAATGGCATCTATAAGAGCAGAAGCTGAAAACGATACCGAAACGTCAGTTTGAGAGTCGTAGGAGAACGGTTGGTCGTCAAGTCCAGTGTAATTTAAGCTTCGGCGGCAGCATTTTGCGTTTGCGCGGTGGCTCCACTTGAGGTGGACACGGTGTCGGGGTCCGCTTCTCGCACACCCATCCATGGTACTCGCTTTTGCAATTCAGCCCTAGTTAAATCGAAATAAATCTTTTAAACTTTTTTGGTAGTTAATAGGTATGTTAGATGACTTACTATTTTAGTTTATCCTAAGATTTGTCAGTTTGAATCTAAGTTATTGTGTACTGGTTTCTGCCCGTGGTTCTGAAATGCTTTTACGAGATACAATTTGGTAGATACAACGAATTCAAATGTGTTATATATACCTATATGTTAACACAAGTCATGGTCCATTTTTATGTATCCTCCAAATCCGTTAAACGGTTTATACGATGAATGTCCAAACATGTTCAGTTATTTTGCCTATATTTGTAGACTCTTAGGAAATTCACGAAAATACTTAATACTAAATGCTATTCACCTGTATCTAGGGTGGTTGATTGCGTAAACCCATGGATCAATGCAGGAGACGATCTTCGTACACACCGCTGGCACCATAGTCGCCACGGGAGTTAAAAGACCCCTATGAGAAAATAACAAATTACTTTGAAAATATGTGTTGTAGGTATAAATATAAAATTAGTCACGTGCCTAACAGTGGGACGTTAAAAAAACCGAATATCTATTTATTACATACTAGCGACTCACCCTCGCTCCGCTCGGTTTCGTTACTACTTACGTTTTAACTTTAAGTATAGATTTCTCAGAAATGAGATATTTTCCCGAAGTAAAAAGTATCCTATATGTTGACCCGGATAACCAGCTATCATCATACCAAATTTCATCAAAATCCCTCCAGGGGTTTTTCCGTGATGCGGTAACAGACAGACAAAAATTCTAAAAACTATACATTCCGTCTCTGTATCGATAATAATGTCTATTTTAATAAGATTTTACAAAAAATATTTAATGTACAGATTCTGCTTAGTTACAATTTTATTTATATGTATACATAAGCATATATATTAAATGATTTCTTTAATTTTGTTTGTCCATTATGAAAAATATTCATTTCATAGCCATATTTTATTCGAGGGTATTTTTAATTGGCAATCAACGGCTTTCGATTCTCAGCTAGATAACAACTAACGAAATAAGATCTCCCAATTCAACTCAGTAATTAAAACCCTGTCATTCAAAACGTTTATCAATACGATTAAGCGGCTACCGACTGAAAGGACAGCTGGCATTTTTATTTCCCTACCTTTTCAAAGGAATTTTTGATCTCACGTGGAGAACGATTTGCATATTATTCTCATTAAACGTTTATACACGCTTTAAAAGAAAAGATTATTACAAAATGTAAATTGGTGAGACTGGCAGTAATATAGTTGTTAACGTTGTAAGTGGACCAAATTGATATCGGATCTTTAAATAAAGCTGTAGTATTATTTACATTTTGTTTTTGTTTGGCAATATTTATTGTTAACTGGCTTCCTCTCTTTGGGAAGATAAGTTTTGGAATTGACTTTCATTAAGTTATACTTTAATATTGTAGTATATTTATAAATAACTAAAATTGGGAATAAGATTTTAAAGTAATATTTAAGAAACGAAATAAATTAATAGATTTGATTTAGAATAAAAAAATATGCTTGGTCTATTATTTAGATATATGATTGTGTTGTATTTCGAACACGAAACGTTTAGTTAAAAAGTATAATTTTACTTGTCTCCAAATGCACCGGTCATAGCGACAAAGGCGTACGGCGTCCAGGAGCACACAAATAGGAAGAAGATGGTAAAGGACACTTTCGCGATCCTTATCTCGACACTCTTGCCAGCATCTTCCTTGTTCGCTGCTAACGACTTTACGTTCATTTTCTTAGCTTGCTCTTTAAGCATGCGCTCGTGAAGACGTACCTGTGGTAAGTAGAGAAGAGACGTATTAGTTAATTGTTGGATATTTGTTTTGTTTGTATAATGTGTAGGTACGGTACGAGATAAAAATAAAAAACATTTCAAATAATGATAAAAAAACAAATTCGTTTTTTTTTCATGTTACATCACTTTTTCATGTTAAATTACAAACTGTTGGGCATTTAACTGGCAAACTGTTGGTTGGTCTTACCAATTAGTAGTGTGTGTTATAATATTTATGATATATATTTAGTATAGTTAAACTTAGTTTATATTTTATAAAACAATATATTAATTACGAATCTGAAACGGGATTAGCGTTAAAATATTCACGATATGGTTCGATCAAAATTGGTCACTTTTAAAATGCAAATATGGAAATTATATCAGAATATTAAACAGAAAGCTTCTATAATTCAATGTTTTTGCGTCCTTCAAACGATTAGAGCTGGTTCTGGCATAATAGCACCCAATCCCTTTGATGTCGGAAATAAATTAATTTTCATGAAACCTCAACGTTTCTAAAGGATGAAAATGATTTTTATGACATTTCCATTTCGTCTGCCGTTGCGAAGATATGGAATCATTGTCGTTTAATTTGCGTTTTTATTGTTTGATAAAATATATATCTAGTATTTATATATTATATTATATCTATACTAATATTATAAAGAGGTAAAGTTTGTGAATTGTGAGTTTGTGACGTTGTAAGGGGTAATCTTTGGATCTACTGAACCGATTTAGATGAAATTTGGTAAGAAGATAGTTTGAGACCCGGGGAAGGACATAGGATTTTTATTCCAAAAATCATCCCTTAAGGGGGTGAAAATGGGGATGAAAGTTTTGTATGGGTAATCAACCTAGGGACGAACCCGAGCGAAGCGAGGGTGAGTCACTAGTATAATATATTCATATATATGATAGCAAAAGAGCTTATAAACTATAAAAAATATATACTCGTAAGTAAAATACATATTTCCTAATATTATGTTGTAGATTCCCTTAAGAAAAATCGAATATGTACCTACTTATCATAGAATACCTCAAACATCCGCTACGATCAGAATACAAATATGTCTATTTCCTGTAACACCATATTTTTCATATATTTCTACTTCACGAATTACTTGAGTACCAAGAATAAAACACAATTCGAAGTAAATCAACCCGTGGAAATGTTTGAACGGGCACCCATCGGGTTGATCGTGCCTTCAACGATATAGAGTGTTCACTTTATTGACCTACTGTCCACCATCTTTATGATCACTGTGAATGCTCCGTTTGCTATCGTACGAAAATTAACTTTTTTTAAGTATCTATTACTAATATTATAAAGAGGTAAAGTTTGTGAGATTGTGAGTTTGTGACGCTGTAGGGGGTAATCTCTGGACCTACTGAACTGATTTAGATGAAATTTGGTAAGAAGATAGTTTGAGACACTGGGAAGGACATAGGATCCTTTTTATTTCGGAAATCATCCCTTAAAGGGGTGAAAATGGGGATGAAAGTTTGTATTGGAAAGCAAGATAGGGACGAACTCGAGCGAAGCGAGGGTGAGTCTCTAGTTCTAAATAATTATATTAATCAATTAAGAAATTGAATAAACGTATTATTTTTAGATGCTAATGAGTAATTAAAACATAAAAGAAGAAATATAAATAATATTTAACGAAGCCAAATTAGTTTAATTCATACAAAAGGCTATTTTGAAATCTTCTTGCATATTATACAGAAGGTAGATAGTGTCAGTTTTGTACCTTAGTGTATACTATCATGTCTATTTTTCATAGCAGTTTTGTCGATTTGACTTTGGAAAGCTAATACCGAAAAGCAAGAATTTTAAAAGGTTTTCCTTTTCTAAATACGATATATCTAACAGAGCAATCTTTAACAATAGTTTGTGTCCAACGTTTCGTATATAAATTGTCGGCCACTTTGGGATTTCCAGATTTGCCAGAAATCTGTATACGTTACTGGCAAAATACAAGCAAATAAACACCGCTGAGCTCAGCCGAGTCAGGATTTTGCTCTTTTTATAACATCCCGACCGATTCTATTCGATTTGCAGGCGTATTGGATAAGTACGCTTTAGCAAATTTCCGCAATTTACTCCCATTTTAAGCAGCTCCTATGAACATCTGGCCGATACAATCGGAAAGCTGAAGGATTTGGAAATGGTAGTTATAGTTCCTTTATTTGGAAATTGTACATTTATAAGCTGCATATATCCTGCTTTAAATACGGTGTACTTCGAAAGGATGTTTTCAATTATTATATGATACAGGTTTCTGATTATATACTTGTACTTTTACGCTCAATATTTGTTAAAAATTTAGGTATTATTCGAATACACAGGACTGAGTAAATGACTACGTATTCACATATATAAAAATTTCAAGTTATTAACTCTTAATATTAAGTAGGTATCGTTTATCTTTATTTTCCTCAGCAAGTGTCTGGCAAAATGAGTTAGAAACTTGTTTAATCGTTCCCAGCAAGTTGAACCTCTTTTGAGTGGATGTTAATTTAATAAAACCACGAGTCCAGCGTGTAATGAAACTGGTCCTGTAGTTCATTGGCTACAAAGCGATATGAAAATATATCCCAATATAGATACATCTTATTCTTACAAACAATATTTAGCTATATTTTTTTAGGAATATACCGTACAATTTTAAATCGAGATATAGATTTGTTTATATTTTTGTTTTAAAGTTTCGCTTTATTCGTTTGGCCTGTTTTTATCAGTGGACGATTATCATCATTATCATAAAGTAAAAGTAATTAAATATCGTGTCTTTAACCATCGAGTTGGCAACTTTCATAAAGATTAAACTCAAAATATAATTACATTTTTGCCAGAACCCTATGTAATGAGTAAAAACATATATAACAAGTTTGATTTTAAACTTCTATTAACTAAAATAGAGAAGCATTCTCTGAGAATGATTTAGTGGTAGCCCAGCGGTAACGTACTCGTTTGGGAAACCGAGTGAAGCGGGTTCAAATCCCGGGTCTCGCACCTCTGATATTTTCATGTGCAACAGCGAATCATTTCCAACATGATTGCCACTTTTCTTAACGGTGAAGGAAAACATCGTAAGGAAACCTGCATGTCTGATAGAACCTAGCAAGATTTCAAAAGACATGTGAAGTCCCCAACCTGCACACCACTTCGGAGTGGAATTTTGAAAGTCTTTAACTTTAGTAACTTTGCTAACGTCAAAACAAAATTTATGGTGTAATCAAATTGTTTTTCTTTAAATATATCCGAAAATAACATTAAAAGTTTAAGTAATGATATAAAAAAAGTTTTAAAAGACAACAAAATCGAAAGTGCATAATAATTACAAGACTTCCGCGACACCATCCAGACAAAGAGAGACAATAGCATTCCCAAGGAGGGTTGACGTCAGGCAGGCGGCCGGTCGTAAAACTTTTGCCAAATCCTATCAGCAGTACAGAAGATGTACTGCGCCGACCCCAAGTGATTGGGAAATGGGCAGGGAGAAGAAGAACTTTAGTAACTATCAATACAACAGTTGTTTGGAGAGTAATAAATAATAATTAATAAATGTATAGAAAAAATGGAAGCTCATACAAAAATATATAATTCATTTGTACGTTTCGAAATTATTCTTCTTTATACGTACGTTCTACTTAAGTTAAAATATATATTTAAAAATCAAGCCATGATAAATAAAAATGTCAAAAATATCACCGCCTAATACTGGCATGAATTTGTTCGTTAACGGTGTCTTATTACCGTCATCTTTATTTATTGCCTCCTAGGGGGCGGTCTTGATAAATATAATTTGCAGATTTGATATTTTTTCGTATTACTGTGCCTATTTGAATAATAATATATGTTGAGTTTGATTACCTTAATACGTATTTACAGGGGGGAAACGGGAATATATTAATTGGTACGTTTTAACTGTTAGTATAGATTTCTCAGAGATGAGATATTTTCCTATAGTAAAAATTATCCTATTTGTTGACCCGGATAATCAGCTATCATCATACTAAATTTCATCAAAATCTGTCTAGTGGTTTTCTCATGATGCGTTCCCAGACAGACAGACAAAAATTCTAAGAACTGTAGATTCGGCCTTTGTATCAATTATAATGACTATTTCAATAAGATTTTCCAGAAAGTATTTAATGTACATATTCGATTCAGTTGGATTTTTATTATAGTTATGTACTATGTATAGATATAAAATAAAACACACAAAACATTAAGTACGTATCAATGAAGGGATATTTTGATGTTCAATCATCTTACTTACAACTTATAAAAATATTTAACATAAGAATTTAGAAAATCTTTTACACAAATAAGTGAATGTGAGGAAAAAGGTCCGAGGCTCAAATCCTTTAAGACCAAAATATCAATCAGAATACTTATTGTAAGTGAACGTTTTCATAACATTTTGTATGTGAATATGAAACCTTTAAGTGCGGATTTGTAAAATGTAAATGTTAGGTTATATACTTATGCTCATATATTATAACCGAATAAAATGATTCTTTAAAAGATTTAAGTAATATTGGGTCTTTAATTAGAGTTTATATATTTATTATATTATTTAAAGGTAAGAGAATGACTTACTATTAAAACCAATTCTAATTTAACAGAGGCGCGTGTCTAATAAACAGTTCCCCCGGGAACGTCGGATTAAAAAAAAGCCTTACTTGCTCTCCAGAACAAAAATATTTGTACATATAATGGCTATATTCATTGCTGTATGACAGAAGAACAAACCAACAAACATATTTGCGCGTTTATAATTTAAAATCAATAACCATTTTAATTTTTGTGTATAATTATTATCTGACTAGCATTGCCCGCGGCTCCGCCCGCGTTCAGATGACCAAAAACTAAATTCTTAGGTTTTACATATTAGTATACTCTTACTTGCAGTTTTTGTATTTTTTCTCAGAAATGAGACATTTTCTCCCGGTAAAAAGTATCCAATATGTTGACCCGGATAACCAGCTATCACCATACCAAATTTTATCAATATCCCTCCTGTGGTTTTTCTGTGATGCGGTAACAGACAGACAAAAATTCTAAAAACTATAGATTCGGCCTCTGTATCGATTATAGTGTTCATTTCAATAAGATTTTCCAAAATATATTTAATGTACAGATTCAGAGTTACAATTTTAATATATGTATAGAAAAAGAAATATACGTACAGCACCAAACAATTTGGAATAAAAGTAGCATATAAAGAGCATCGGGATAACGTAGCTCCAGACGAATATGCACATGACGAACAGTCTCGTGTCCTGGTCCTCGGTGATGTAGTCGAAGGAGCACGTCGTTAGGAAACCCTCTGAAAATCACAATTTTAATAAATTAAAGAAATACACAGTTTTCATGTCAAAATGAATTGAATCAGCCTGATGATCAAGTTATTATATGAATTGAATTAACTGCCTCGGTGGTGTAGTGGCTAGCATGAACGGCTGTACACCCGGAGGTCCTGGGTTCGAGTCCCAGGTTGGGCAAAGTTTAGTTATTGAGTCTTTCTGTATAGTAATCCTCAGTAACAGCCCGGAGTTGGGAAGTTGGCGGTGTTTGACCCCCGTGCCTCGGAGAGCACATAAAGAGTGGTCGTCTACCGGAGTACTACCTATCAGAGAGTGACAGGAAGTAGTGACAGGAATAGAGAGTGCACGTTGTGTCTGCGCGTACACTTGTGCACTATAATATATCTTGCGCAGTTGGCTAGTCTCAATGAGATTGGCTGCCGTGGCCGGAATCGGTCAGGAGAACATCATCATCATCATCATTATATGAATATTTTCATACCGATTTCACATTCTTACAAAGCTTAAAACTATTAGATGTAGGCTTAAATCTACTGACTACTTCTAAGTTTTCATTACCAGATAAGCTAATAATATATTTTTAAATAATACATTACCAACATTTACATACCAGTATTTAGATTGCTTACTTTCGTTAAGCCGTTTAAGTAATTTAAGAGACTTATGTGCTTAACTTTAATTGTGTTAATGATGTAATAGGTGCGAATGAGTGGCGTTATACGAAAAAAAATTATTTACTCAAAGTAAAAATGAAAATAGATTTCCGTTCATACAAATAGTATTATCTAGTACAAGGCTGAAATTTCAACAGCGTATACCAATATCGATGTAGGTAAGAACTAAGAACGGAATTTTTGAAATTCATCTCCATAAAGGGTCGAAAAGGAATGACAATGTTTGTGAAACAACATTTTTGTGATTAAATATTTTAAAAGTCGTGTGAAGCTCGGAAATATGAATTAAAAGACTATATAATTAGTAATTAAAATATTTTACTATTATAATTAGTATTGATTTTTAAAAATATAAAAAAAAACGTAGATAGCATTAACTGGAATCTAAAGTATAGAAGCCATTATCAAATATATTATTGTCGTTTCGTCATCAAGTAACTGAGACCTTTGTGTGACCAAGCAGTAATGTTCTTCCAGCGGATGAGCGCAATTTCTCACGATTAGTGTTGTTAATAAGCCAGTAATCTTAGTTTATGTACGCACCACTACCTAATACTTTAATGCAAAGTGTTTCATATACAAATAAGTATTATTAATTGTATATTATAACACATGACGACACGTTTGGCTGAGTTTGTAGATGAGGGAATTTACTTGCTGTGCCAGCGGTCGCGGGTTCGAGTCCCGCTGGGGGTATTCATTTGTGTGATGAGCATGAATGTTTGTACTCCAGTCATGGGTTAACCCATTTATTTATTTATAATATATATGTATTTAAAGTTATATATAATATATGTGTAGTGTATCAACTATCGGGTATCCATAACACAAGCCTCGTAGCTTACCATGGAACTAGATGGTGCTGTGTGTTAATGTACCAACATATTTTATAAGTCCATAGCATAAAGTATGTAAGCGCTTCAAAAAATCCTTTTAACATTCTAAAATGACCAATGGTTTTTGGGATTATTTCTAACGTGTTTAAAATAACGCTTTTGCAAAAAGCAATTTAGAAAGGGTCAGGAATTTGTTGAGATTTGAACCTCTGACGTTTATAAGAAAGGATGACGGGTGATATTAATTAATGATTACGGAGGCGTGCTGTGTCTCTGAATATCTGTTCATTATTAATTTTCAACAATCTCAACTTTCATACAGTTCAAATTATGTAAGATAGCTTCAGTTACGTTAATTTATTAGGGTAATGTCGTGTCAGATAGGATAAATCTATATTATATATATAAAAATCCTAATAGAGCAGTTGTATAGAATTTTTATTTACCACCAATTTATTTCCTCCTGTCTCTAAGACAGTGAAAATTTATCATTATATTGTTGAATTTTTATAAGAGCTAATTTAATTCTACAGTATCAGTTTTAATTATACATTTTCATACCTGGCACAAAACGTCCCCAAATCCTGAAAGCGGGCATGCATGTAAATGGTAAAGCCCAGAACCATGTGAATAGGATTAGCAAAAACGCCTGCGTTCGTGTCAGTCTGCCATCCAGTGGGCTTGATATTGTCCTGAGAACAAATGTTATTAATTTGCAACTATACTTATATAAAAGTAAATGTATGAAGTATTTCACTTTATTAATTATTGCATTTATTATTTCTTGTTCTTTAAGTTTATGAATAAATGCTATATTTAAATATACAGACATTTTCATACATACAAATATATGTATGTAGGTGTATTAAAATAATTTGTAAGTATTTGAGTTTATATAAAATAGGTAGTCAGTGTTCACATTTAATGTTTGTAATAAATTCAATGTAATATATGGATAATTAAAATATTTTCTTGCCAATATTAGATATCATATCCCAAGGAACGCGATACAGTCGTTTCTACCAAACGAGAACGACAGCTTCCTTAGTTGCAAGTGGGACACGAATTAGTTAACGAGTATGCCAAGCACAGACATAATTTGTAGATAAAATAAAATGGTCAAAAAATTATTGAAATATACATATCATGAATACACCTCCTATCTTTTTGCAATAACTTCTAAGTTCCATACGCTTTCGTCGGACGCTTTGGAAGAAGGTACTCCACTATACATTTCCTTTGAAATGTTGGTAATAAAATGTATTTCATATATTTCCTAGCTATTACAGGTGGAATACTTCGTAGCGCACAAAAGCGTTTCTTAAAATATATTAAAACTTCGTGAACTTGTTTCGTTTGCGTAAATTGAGAAAAACTTTGGGGTATCTTTTATTAAATTCTTATCGATAAGCTATATTCGATGAATTCAATATAAATAAAGAAATATTATTATACGTAACTTATTTACAATAATGGATTATAGATAGAATAGATAAATTACAAATATATTTAATTATATTTATATACAAAACAAGTGTACACTTAATTGTTACTGTACAAGTCATGTCTGCATGAAATAGTGGCAAAAATGCTAGCCTCTGAATGGCAATGTGGATTCTTTGGGCGAAAAACGAGCCAGCTCTCTTTACGTTACTAGTAGAGGCGATTAGACGCGGTGTTATGTTTTTTAACAAATGTTAATGAATTCTATTAATTTTATAAATGTCAAAGTTTGTTGTTTTGATAAATGTGAGAGTCTTACTTGTATCTATCAAAAGCGATGACGGCATTAGTAATGGAACCGCCGATGCCTGATAGGGCACCGAAGACCGCGTATAAGTCGCAACCTAGCTGGTATCCCAAAAGGCGTTCGTAGAAGGAATTCACCACCAGCATTGGCATTTCAAGCATCATCATCAGGTCAAATACTGCTAAGTTGATCACGAACATGTTGCTCGCGCTACGGAGTGACTTTGATCTGAAATAAAAAATATAGTTAATTTGTGGACTGAAAAAAAGAGAGTTGAAGAGAAACTCCAGTTCAAGTAATATAATTAACTAGCGTTTTCCGGTGGCTCCGCCCGCATAGTACATTAATCACCAGCATATCATATACTAAAACCTTCTCCGAAACACGCTGCATCTTATGGTATGAGTATTATTCCGATCGGTTCAGTAGTTATCGCAGTATAACCGAACAAAAAAATCGGCTCTCCATTTATTAGTATAGATATTGGAATTACTTTTCCTATCAAAAAAGTCATAAAAAGCCTTCTTTTCACTCATGTATTATGTTTATAATACAATTTTATTGATATACTAGCATTGCTCGCGGCTCCGCCCGCGTTCAGATGACCAAAAACCAAATTCTTAGGTTTTACATATTAGTATACTCTTACATTGCAGTTCTTGAATTTTTTCTTAGAAATGAGACATTTTTCCGCGGTAAAAAGTATCCTATATGTTGACCTGGATAACGAGCTATCACAATTCCTCCAGTGGTTTTTCTGTGATGCGGTAACAGACAGACAGACATACAAAAATTCTAAAACCTATAGATATCAATAATAATGTCTATTTTAATAAGATTTTCCAAAAAATATTTAATGTATAGATTCGGCTTAGTTACAATTTTATTATATGAATAGATTGACGTTTACACTTTAACGAGAGCAAAAGTTAAGTCTTTTATAAACTACTTTTCTAACGACCGCTCCCAAAAAGTTAAGAAGGGATTGGGAAGTCGCTCTCCTCTATTGGTAAGTGAAAAGTGTTGTACAGTTGAAGAAAAAAATTATCACAAATAAATGTATAGTGCGACAACTGAATGTGATAGGAATTCTTGATTATACGTACTATATCACGTTCTGTCTAATTTTTTATTAGATTTTTTTTAAATGATATGTATTTAAGAAATTGTCTCTTTAAATAAATATCTACATATATTTTCAGTACATACGTATAGTTGAATGAAGTTTTATTACATTGTGCGAACATATCATTCTATTGAATACCTTCTTTTTAATGTTGGTTAAAAATTTAGCGATATTAACATATTATATATTGTATACAAAACATAAAATCAGATTAAGAAAATCTTCTATTTTTCGAGTAGAGACTTCGAGGGAGAGCACGTTGCGGAATGTAGTGAACAGAACAATTCCAATAACGTCAAACTTCTACAAATCCGCTATCGACATGGACTACGCTGTGTTCTACAAATATTACTTTACTTTTTATAAAAAGATAAAAGATAATAAAATACTGTAGCACGGATTTATAATTTAAATAGGAATTCGATATTGAATTGCCTCTTTTCACCGAAGTTTCTCTTAAAAGGATATTTCGCACTGAAAATAATAAAATAAAACTGGGCAAATTATGAAGGCAATGAAGGAACCAATCTAGTTACAGTTGTTAAAAGGCCTTCATGGTAGGTTATTACGAATTAATTAAATATGTATTGAGAGCTTTCGAATCTAATTACGTACTTTTATATTTGCTTAATAAGGTAACAAGGTAAGGCATGTATTGCGTTGTTTATGTTCTGTATGTCATGTATTCCTTTATAATTTTATTTATCACATCCGTTAGAATATGATGGTACAACATTGAAGCGACATATATCCTTTGAGAGAGTGAAGGAAAGCACTGCACTTTCAAAATTACTGTCTTTTAAAGTTCAACGGAATAGCAAAGTCTTTACAGTTTGCTTTTTAAACAAGAGAATCTTGATTTAAGTCTTTGATATTATATGCTTCAAGGTACAGCTCCATTTGTATAGGATGCTATCATCATTTTACGAGACTTACATATATAACACTGTTCACATTGTGAAGACAATTTCAGTAAAGTTAAGTATGTTTAAATAGCTTTCAGTTTCAATCTAAGTTTGGAACAAAGAGAAATTGTTATCAACAAAGATTTTCCAAGCGCATTAACGTCAAAAGACTTAAAATTGACAGTAATTTCAGATTTTCTTCTAAATATTTATTAAGACAAAAATGTCAACACTGGTATCGAGCCAAACGACATAGATACGCTACAAACGGAAGATAAATAGAATGGAGTAAAAAGCGATGCTCGATGAACATCGGAAGCGTTTTTCCAACTCGAACGCGGTTCACAACTTCGCCTTTAACACTCGTTTGAAGTTTACGCGGATGTGGGAAAATGATTTATATATAATATTGCGAAATATTAAAATGGGTTCCTATAGTTGTTTACCTATTCATCTTGTTTATGCTTAAAATGTGGATATATATAATATAGCAATGAAGGCTTTAATTATTATAATTAAATTTGCTTTTATTTTATCGCTTTTACTTACTAACAAAACTCCGCCATTACGTCTGCTTTAAGTTACAAAATAAATTTAAAGGCATGCAAGGTCATATTAAAAAAACATATTAATATTTTTAATGACCACGCATAAAGGGAATCCCCAAATAAAGTATAAAGATGTGGAGACAATTTTTTTAGATCATATGAGTAATTTGGGCTAAGAAGAATCAAGATCGCTACTAATATTTATTTAGCTTATACTTATATAAAAATGTTATATCTAATCTTTAGTGTAGAAGAAAAGGAATTTAATCTATTTAATTGTTACTATGGGTAGAGGTTTATTATATATTCATAACTAGTAGTTTTGAGATCAAGACGTGAACCAGAGTGCGTTTAGAAACTTAATTAAGTCAACAGCAGTGATAGTACAGCACTCGATCGCCGAATTGTTCCGCGTTATTACCGCAACCCTCTTATGGCTTTTGGATTAATTGAACCATAAGGTTTTGGGCTATTATATGTAAGTGCTTTAATAAATCAATATTAAAAAACAGTTAAACTTTAACAATAGCATTTTAGTAATTGTATATTAAGTACTTACGTGCTGAATATCCAAATAACGATACCGTTGCCTGATATCGATGCAATCATAAGTATAGCGTATATGAGAGCTAAGCCAATGTGCCAGTATTTGCTGACTGCTGGGTAGTTCCTCCAATGGTCGTGGACGAAATCCTGGTGTTCTTCTGGAATGTTCCAGCCAAGCATGTGTTGCACGACCTCTTGGGATACCCTAAATGAAAATAATTATATAGTGTATATATATATTATCAGTCCGTTTTACTAAGAATGTATAAAGTATATATATTCTATCTAAAATGCTTTTATTACAAAGGCTAATAAATTTACGATGTAAATTTATTGAAGTGGATTATTTTATTAGAAGAAAATTGTGTATTTTTGATTTATAATTTGTTTGGTTGAGTGAACGTTACAGAATTGAATTTTGAAGTACTAATAGACTTTGATTTATAAACTCTGTTTCAAATAACTGGAATTTTGAGCGGTTCGTCTTTAGAACAATTTGCCATATTTCCATTAAATTATAACTTTTGTGATAATAATGTGGATATTTATAAAGTTATTTCCATTTGAAACAAGTCATTTAAATTAAGCAATTTATATTCGTTCCGGTCTGGGCGTTATTGTGGGTTGAATGTTGAAATTTTTTCTTGTTCCTTTTTCTGGTTTTGTCAAATCAGTTTTAAAATTGAAATTAGGTATTTGGGCTAAACAAATTATATTTTCAAAGTATAAATAGTAATTAACCTAAAATATTTTTTTCTAGTTTAAAAAAACCTATATATTTTTTATGTGAATAAACAATGAAAAAATTCTAATCAGAAAATATGAAAAAGTAAAAACTTACAGTTTAAGCGGGTAGGCCACAGGGCCGATGTCTTCTGTGTAGTTGGTCGCCATTTTGTGCACGTGTCAAACAAAATGGTGGATTCTTATGAGAACTATTATCGCATTGGAAAAAATTAAAATAAATTTGCTACTAGGTAATGGCTATAGTTTTATGACGAAGTGAGTAGTCCGACGTTGGCTGTCGCTTCTCACTTGTGGCTACCTTAGATCAGGGTACGGTTTTTATATCGAACTAACGTGCGTGTCTCTTAATTCCTTAATTTAATAAAATAGTAAAGCTTCTAGTTTATTTGGTCAAATGTATTACATGTTGAGTATTCTTAGTGTAGTTGTAATTCTTTTTAATTTGATTGTTTTTATACAATTTATTCTACAGTGTAAGGTAAATATATTTTATACATTTATTATTCTTTTTCTATCTTTGCGTATTGATTTTTCATGTAAAACTGCTCGTAAGCACTTGTTAGTACAGTAATAATTTCATGTCTACGAGAACAATAGCAACTAAAATCAATTTTAAACTACATAAAATATTAAATTTGGTGTGATTATTGTACCTATAATAAACTGTTATACTATAATGCGTTTCCCTAACAAATAGGAAAGGCAGCATTTTAATATAAGATTTGGTAGTACATACCATATTTTGTCTAGTTACAATTTTTTTGGCAAAAAGAAAAACTAGTTTCATAAAATATAACTAAAAAAAATGAACACAATATCATTATTACGTGGATGCTTAATGTTTTTCAAATTGAGCTCATATCAACAAGAGTATTACAGTCGAACGAGATTGCGGGCAAGCCCCAGTTTCGGTGCCCGCGACAGCTATCCGGGCCGAAACGTGCTACGAATGTAAACCACTCATACTCGTAATAACCTATCATATGTAGTTTTTATTACACGAATTATATGCTTGAAAACTTATCTAAATATGATGATAATGACGATTGAAAATTGAAAGATTTTTTTTAATAATATAATACTTATAGTACCTACTCGTTTAAAACTATGAAAATCGATTATCATTTTCATTTATCTATCTGTTTAATCTTTTAATTATATATTACAAATATTGATCCCCGTAATAAGAAATCTCTCCTAACAATAGACCTATACGGTAAAATGCAAATCATACAGTTCTTTATTCATACAACTATCCACAGATAAATACAATAAACAATTGCGTTAAAAAATCTTTTTTATAGTTTATAGTATGGTTAGTAAAAATGTTAAAATTAGAGGCACAAGACATAATATGTATTTGTGTTATTATTAAGACACGGTACGTCGCTCTCACAATACTTAGTCTCTAAATAACAAAATGACACTACATAAAATTAAATCCATTAAGCCATTCAGGACACAAAGCGTAGATATACCTAAATATAAATATGTTGGGACAATAACACACATCACCATCTAGTTCCATGGTTAGCTACGAGGCTTGTGTTATGGATACCAGATAGTTGCTACACTACACATATATAACTTTAAATACATACATAATATTATAAACGATGACTGGAGTACAAACATATTTTGTGCTCATTACACAAATGAATGCCCCAGCGGTACTCGAACTTGCGACCGCTGGCGCAACAAGTAGAGTCACTACAAACTGTAAAAAACGTGTTGTCGTAACATACATCATCATCATCGTTTTTTTTCATTATGGCTAACATCATCGTTACCAGTCTGTTTTCGTCCACTGCTGGATATAGGCCTCTCCTATGGCACGCCACTGAGCTCGATCTTCAGCTCTACGCGTCCAGCTGGCCGCTGCCAGCCATTTTGACGTACGTTACGTATGATACAAGGTCTTGGACGTTTATTGGAGGTCTTCTATTATCTTGAAATAAGCCCTCTGAAATATCCGAAAGTGCCTAGTGGAAAATGTGTAGGGTCATTTATTTTTAGTATTTGGGTGATGTTTAAAAGGATTTATAGAAAATTATGTAGATACTTATATTTTTCTTATTTTTATCAGTCTATCTATTTCTTTAACATTACATCCCTCATAAACCGCCCTACGAATTTTAATTATGTTCATTGTACCATGTACACTGTACAGGTATTTTTTCATAAGCAAGCAAGCCAATAAGCAATATCTTATGTATATTATAATATACACAAGCAAAGGGAAAAATCCAAAAATATTTTTTGTATATTATAAACTTATTTTGTTGTTTTTTGAAGGAACCCTCGGTGTGAGAGACATGCACTTGACCGATTTTTATTTTATAAAAGGCCTAATCTACATAAGGAAGCTATAATTATATAACCTATATTAATAATAACTTGGCACATCATCCAATAGCTATGGCCCCCTAAATCGACGTCCATGTTCCCATATAATCGTAGTCTCGAGCTAATCTCTGGAACCATTAAAGACAGTGCCAATACACAATATATGAAGTTCCGACCGATCGCTTTGTGGTCGATACAATAATGTTATATACTGATCATCATATTATATATCTAAGTATCAGTTTACTGTTGCTAAATCTGAGTTTATAATAATTCAGGTATTTTTCTATTTCGAAGGTGCGATATAGGCTCTGAAATTCCGTGTTCTGTGACGTGCCGATGAGTGATGTACGAGTAGGTATAACGAAACACCACTCAGATTTTTATTTATTTATTTCATTTTGAGGGTAACTTATGCCAGATAGCTTGTTTTGCCAGAATTCAAAAAATGAAATGACTATTCACTTCTTTAACATTTTTTACGATTCTGGATAAGCAGAAGAAAATAACCTATTGTACATCCATACTTAATATTATAAATGTGAAAGTGTATTTGTTTGTTTCTCTTTCTTTCAGGTCGAAACGGAATGACGGATTGGCGTGATTTTTGGTGTGAAGATAGTTGGAGGACTGGAGAGTGACATAGGCTACTTTTTATCGCGGGAGATCATCTCATTCTCACGGGTAAATACAACAATAATACGACCCAAAAAATATTTATGATCAGAATTACTTGAAGCTTGGTATTAATACTTTTCAATACAATTAAATAAATACATGTTTTAGCATTTTTCGAAATTCATCCTATAAAGGGGTAAAATAGGTGATGAAAGTTTGTATAAAACCTACTTTTTACACAGACTCTTTGTAGTTTTAGCGCGAGCGTAGCCGCGGGTTCTACTAGTAATTTATAATAGAAATGGTATTTATTTTATGATTTATCCCATTCTGCATACATATCGCTATCAATCAAAATAAAAGCAGACAAAATGTTCTATACTCTGTTAATATCGAATATCGTGTTTCACACAAATATATAAAAAAGTACAATAAGATTTCTATAGGTATCTACATAAATATATTATAGTACTAGCAACTTATCCTCGTGGGTGCGTCCCTTGGTACGTTTTGGGGTTTTTTTGAGCGGAATCCTAATTATTTTTCTAAAATAAAAGTAGCCTATGTTACTCCTTATAACATCAGCTATCTGCCAGTGAAAATTCAGTCAAAATCGGTCGAGCCGTTTCGGAAATTAGCCGGAACAAACGATAGACAGACAAAAATTTTAAAACCTGTGTTTTTCTTATATATACCGATTATACTTTCATATGCATTTATTAATTAAAAAGTTAAAGTTGTTATGTTGACATTACAAACAGACACTTTAACTTTATATATCTGTATAGATAATTGTAACGTTGACGAAATAAATATCCTTTAGCTATACTTAGCGTAAAGAAGCTTAAGTTAATATAATTATTAGTAGTACATAAATATTTAAAATTGTACATTTTTCTATTACAAAACAGTTTCAAAATCCAAGTAAAGACTTGAGAACATTAACAAGTAGATAGAAAAAGTTTAAATGGGAGAGTCTACAGCCTATTTTAGTTGTTGATCGTAGCGCGACGCTCTGGCGCCCGCTATATGAATTGTGCAACTATGAGACTTGCTCTTCAGAGATGTGAGACTAGGAAATAGGACTTTTATTATATAATAACACATTCCTCGCTATATCTTTAAGTTTAAATAAATAAAATATGGTTAAAATGTCGACAGAAACTTGATATGTAAATATAATTTATTACCTTCTACTTTATTAGTTTTTGGAAAGTGCTCTTGTATAAATAACTTTAATTAATTAATATAAATTTAACAATAAATAAAAAGATTGATGATAGCTCAGTTGAAATTGCTTGACTTCTTACTTAAAATTACAGTGTATCTCACTTTAGAGATAGTTGTTATTCCAAGTATAACCAATAAGTAGTTTTCAAGACATATTTATTTATATAGTACAAAAAAAATTTAAAAGCACGCGGGGCTCATTAGCTGAACGAAGCGAGGCTTAATCGCTAGTATTTAATTAATTTAATCGTGTTTATTTAATTAAGAAAACTTTGCAAATGTTGTATCTATTTACTTTAAAGCTAACAGTAGGTATTATATATTAGTTTTAATGACATTTTACCTAGCCAGTGATATGGGCTAACTTTCTCAATTTCGTCCTTAAGTACAGAACTGGGCCATGACCTAACTATATTAGCTTTTCTCTATGTACATATGACAAACTGTAAATTGCCTGGAAACTTATGTTTACTCGTACCGAACTCAGATTTAAGCTTTATGAACTTATAAAAGCTAGCAAATCTATTACTCGATATTTTCTTAAGGAAAATATGTATGTAGGTATTTGTAGATAATTGGGTAAATACGTTGTTCAAGTAAGAAAGTAAGTAGAGATTATTATTAACTAGCGACTCACTTTTGTGAATTTTTCTGATGATTTAACAGTTATTATACTATTGGGGTGAAGACATATCCAACAAAACAAAGATTATAAAAATCGATTTATCAGTTCTCGAGTTATAAGTGCCGTAACAAACCCAACTTTGTTTTATATATAAAAATGTAAAACGTTTTAACGGTTTATATTATGCTGAGTGACATAATGAATATGAGATAATAATATATATAATACAAAATTCCGTAAGAAGCAAGGGCATTTAACTAGTATTGATATAAAGGAAAGATGATTTTGTTTTAAAGAGTTTACGGCGCCTCTTCAGGCCAAATGTGGA